TAGTTAAATAATTTAGGGTGACTATATGGCATCATGGTTCCATTATTGATTGACTGATTCACTGTTATACCTGGAAGTAAGTTTTAGAGTTATGCTGTTAACTTAATTCTTATCATGTCTGTTTTTCCATCCTGTGACCACTAGAATGGACAATAAAAGTTTAAACAAAGACAAATAAATAAAACATTATAGCCTCGCAATGGAGAAAAAAAGTCTTCAACCTAGATTAAAATTTTAGCAAAAATATTGTCTTCCAGGGAAAATCCAAATATCGATGACTCCTGCACTACAAATTTGTCCAATCAAATACTGTCTAGAATGAGAATGTACCTCTAAATACCACCTGCATGTAATGTGTCTCATATGTCTCACCCCCAAATAAAAATACGGCAATGCAAGACAAATGTCTGTTACACTGGGTCTTTAAAGCTTTCGCATTGTTGGTTGTTGTTGTTAGGGGCCAAATCTGATAATCAACCAACCAGACGAGCTGCTCGATGGCATGTCAGACTGGTGCAAAAAGCATCATGGGAAGGTGAGGACAGATTGATGCAGCTGCTGAGTGTTTCCTGTTTGTGTGAATGAGCCTGTGTGTGCTTGATGTGTGTTGTGTGATTGTGTTCCTGTTTGATGTGCCAGTCAGGGTTGACTCAGGCTGTCAGGGACAGTCACATCACTCTCCAGCAGGCGGAGTATGAATTCCTGTCTTTCGTCCGACAGCACACGCCACCCGGACAGTGTCCTCTCGCAGGTAACCAACCACACAAGCTGCTGTTGTTTCTTTTGCATGTTGCAGGTGTAAAATCTTATGGAAGCTTATTTCTGCCATGGAATAAAAAAAGCTAAAAAGGTCATGTGACTTTTGGTCTCACAAAGGTGATGCTGACTTTTTTCTTCCTTTGAATTAGGACTTTATATCTCACTTTTTTTTTTCTGCCACAAAAAAAAAAAGTGATTGTGACCTTTTTTTGTATTATTCAGATTTCTTATCATTCAGACTTCTCTGAATACAGTTTGGATTCTATTCTGAAGTTCTGGAAAAAAGTCTGAATCTCAGAAATGAAAGAAAATAAAAAAAGCTTCCTTATGCCTCAGAGAGTTTGTGTGGTTCTTCGTCCACAGGGAACTCCGTGCACGCCGATAAGAAGTTTCTGGATAAGTACATGCCGCAGTTCATGCGACATCTGCACTATCGCATCATAGACGTGAGCACCATTAAAGAGCTCTCCAGGTATGTTCCCCATTTAGGTTTAATCAGATGACCGAACGACCGCTGTTGCCACATTAATGCATGCAGACGTGCGTCAGCATGAACTAGAGAGACCATTTTCAAAAGTACTGGAAGTAGGTGATGTCAAAATACTTTCTCCTTTTTTTGATTCTGTTGCCTAGACGATGGTATCCAGAGGAGTACAGTCTCGCACCGCAGAAAAAAGCATCGCACAGGTCTGTGCATCACATGGGTGTTTCACAGCTGTATTATAGAATGCCATGTTTAGCATAGCAAAGGATCCTGTGATGTACTTCATAAATATTTCAAACTAAGAAAAAAACAGTTTTGTCTAATCTCAGAATAATGTTGTGTCCGTATGAATTTTCAGAGCGCTGGAAGACATCCAGGAGAGCATAAAAGAACTGAAGTTTTACAGAGCAAATGTTTTCAAAGTGAAGGAGAAGAGAAAAATTGTCGAAAATGGTGATAAGAAATCTGTGAGCTAATCTCCAAGTCCATCTGGGGGTGGCTTTAGGATCTTGTGCCGAATTCTCATATTTGGATGAAAGGCTGTGCGAATACTCGAGAGAATGAGAGAGCAAAGCTTCACCTTGATGTCCCCAGTGTTTGTTTCCTGTTTTATTTGTTGACTCTGCAAATAGCTTAGTTTAAAAAAAAAAAGAGAAAATCCAAAAAGTTCAAAATGATGCAAATAACTCAGTTATGAACAAGTTCCTTTTTATCCCTTGTGTTCCACTTTAGAAATCTGATTTGTTGCTGGCTCATATCAGTGTGCAGTAATGAAACAAAAGTGTGATTGCATAAGTTCTTCTTTCTGAGAATGTTTTCATTACACCCCTTGTTTTTTTTTTTAAATAAAAATATTTTGTTGTGATTTTGCTGAAGTGTTGTTACTGGTCTGTACTTACAGTAAGCTGAACCAGACGGCAGATGGCAGTATACAGTCAGGTAATATCTGGAGCACGTTAGCGGCTGATTACTGGGGTTGTCGAGTAAAAAAAATGTTGAAACCTTGTATTCAGGTTCAATATTCGCGTGAAAGGATATTAAATGGCGAAAAAGTGTGTATTTTATTATCTGCATAACCACTAGCATGCTAGTTTTACTATTGCTACATGTTGGTTTAGTGGTATGCTGTTCCAAATTCAGTCTTTCTCTTTATGGTAGGTGGACTGACAGGAGGGCTTAGTGACGTCATCCGACATGGAAAGTTGTTTGAGGCAGGAAGTTACTTTAAGTTACAAAAACTGAACATCTGTTATTTGCTCTAATAGTTAAACAAAGCAATCTAGTTTCATTGGGATGTCATTGCCTCTTTAACTCTCTGTCAAGGTTGGTAAATGTTGCTCTTAAAGTTCACTTAGTGTTTTATGCTGTTTTAAAGTGGCAGGGACTGCTGGGACCTCAAATCCTGTTTGGTTGGAGCAGCCCAAGGTAACATGAGCACTCTGTCTGCCACTGGAGGATCGCAGGTTTGATTCTACAAGGGAAACTTTAAATAGAGAGACACTGGGCCAATGCATAAACCATGTGCTGTAGCTGGTAAAAAACTTCTATCTCTCCCCCTCAGAATCTTTCTCCCAGAGGATGAATAATATCCCCATTAGTGTTCAGAACAGACAGCTTGTATCTGGACATCCCTGTGTGTCACTGAGTGTTTGCTCTAGTCTGGTCAAACGATTTAGAAATACATTTAATCATTTAGCAGGTGCTTTTATCCAAAGCGACTTGCTAATTAAGAAACGTTGCAAGCAATTTCTCATGAGAACCAACAATATTTGCAGTACACAATACCAATTTTCAAGTGAATGATAAAGTAGTAGTACGTATTAATTATATGAAGCACCTTTGTTGTTGTGGATTAGGTAAGTGGTGTGTATTCAGCAGTTTCTTTAAAGTTCTGATGATCTCAGCAGATTAGATCGATAGCTCGTTCCACCTCAGAGGAACGGAGAGAGTAAAGGATCTGGAAAGCTGCTTTGTACTTTATTGTGAGGAAGTCACCAAAAACCTTTTTAAATTTCCACAAAGCGGAAAACCAGCTATATACTTGCCCTCTTAAAAATCCAGAACTCAATAACCTACAATGTAACATTAACAATTATTTTTAATTTCCAAAGAACCATATGCAGAGCTCTTTGGTGCACCTAATGTAAAATAGAAAGCACCCTTTATTTTTAATTGTCTACAATCTCTGACAAGTAAATGTCAATTGCAGAAGAAAGAGGTACAGTCTTTCTTGGGTCTGCTCGAGGTATCGCTGCTTCATCCTGCAGGTGCACCAAGGTCACCCAGAACCCAGTGGACTGGACCATTCTGAAGAGCCAAGACTTCAACCAGCTTTTTCCAGTTCAGGTAGATGCCTTTTCTAAAGCGCTCCTTCACCTAATCACGATTGTTTTTCATGCAACAAATTTAATTAATGTTCTATAAAATGTAAAAAGTAATGTGTAATTATTAGTAATTGTGGCTTCCTATACTCAGGTGGGTGTGGGTGCAGGCCACGTTGGCTTGCAGCACTGATCATTTCTGAATGGTTCAGCATACAAAGGATTTCCTGAGGGTGATTGATGACTCAAATTAAAAAAGATAATTAAGACTTTTGGAGTGAATGAATGCGGTGAATCAGCTTCAACTTCCAAGCAGAAAGTGGATTCTCTGGACCAAAATGATAGTTTTCAAACCAGTAAAAACTGTAATTTGCCTATTTATGCATTCTTAATTGGTTTCTCTAATATTTCTGCTGTTTGTATTCATTCAAGGGCAGAAAGAAGAAAGTCTGGATTATGACAGTGGACTAAGAACAGATCAATCCATCATGAATTCATAACCCTGAACCAACAGGTGCTCACATAATTACTGACGAAGCCTCGTAATTTATCACTTTTATTCTGACAGGCTCCTTCCACTCATTAAAGGTTCATTTAATTTATGCTCTGAAAAATAGCTCACATTTACGCTAATTTAATCACCTGCCAATTATCATCAGCAGTTGAATTGAGTTGGTTTTAGTTAGACCTTAATATCACTGAATGCTCCTCGTGTTGATGTTTATATATTTGAAATATCCAAAAATAATACAGCTCATGTCTTCATAGCTATAAGTGCAATCCTTTGTGTTATTTGTTATTTTTCATTACTTGCAGTGAGACACTTTTTGTCTCCCGAAGCCCTGACACAGATGAGATACGGATCAGATCTGCTTTGATCAGAGCTCTAAATCAAAGGTGAACTCTGAACATGAATCTCACAGATGTTTGTGACACACATCAGGTATCTCAAAAGTGTGTTTTTATAGCTTTCATTTATATGAGTATTAACATTTCACCCGCATGTATGGTGGAAAAAATCCACATTTCAGACTTGAGTAGGATTAAATATTCTAAATCTGGATTTGGTGTTCAAATGACACAAAGAAGAGTGAGTTTCGTATAGTTCTCACACATTTACAAGTAGGCCTACACATATAGGCAATTTTTGCTAAATAGCATGCTAACATGCTACTTTGTGCATACAGTGCTCCAGACTTATAAGTAAAATAAGATCTGTGGATATTTAAGTTCCTATATAATGACTACAAGTACCACAAAAATGTGAGTTTATGTGCTTGATAAATCTAATAATCTTTTTATAGTCTTTATACAGCAACTTGTTAGCATAAAGAGCTTGTTTCATGTTATTAAAAAAAAAAAAAAAAAGTAGTACATACTATGCAGTATTCAATCAGTAGGTAGTCAGCTAGTGTTCCACTCCGAACGTAGCTGAACGTAAGTAATCATAATTTGAGCTGTTTGGCAGTATATATGGGATGACATTTAGCTGGAAAATGGGTCTTAAGCACCATGAATTTCTGCATCAATCATTTGTCTTTGTAAACCTAATCCAGTGGAAGCATGCTAGCGTTAAAGCATTTAGCTCTATTATGCTGTCAGTCAGCGCTGATGTCAGCATTGTTCTCCAGTCCTACCTGCCAGTCCAGACCTTTATGAGGAGAGTTTATCCAGTGGAGCTGCACACTCAGCTCCACTCAGATCCTTCCACCCGCAGACACCGACTGACAGAAATGTTCTGTACTTGACAATATAGACACACATTGTCAGTATAAAGCAGATACTTTTTTGAGAGAAAATATAATTTGTACATACAGTGTACCCAGCATTTAAGACACAATTAATGTTAATTCTACAGTTTTTCAGAACTAATAATATTTAAAAATGTTGAACAGTATTAGCTGTTGTTTTATAAATGTAAGCAATTTATTATGTGTGTTGTGTATTGACATTCAGACATCGAGTGTGCAAATATTATATATTATTTGGCAATAAACATTTATTTCAAAATGTTATCTTTAGGAAAGGCTTTTGATGTGTACATCTTGAGTGATTTGCCATAAAATCTGTTCACAGTATACTCAAAACCTTCCTTTGAAATATGACCCGAAGTTTCATCATTGCAGTTGATTTAAGGTGAAGCTTCATAAATAACAGGTAGGTTCTGGGAGGAAAAAAAAACAGTAGAAAAAGGCTGGGGGGAAAACAGGAGCACCGCCAAAATCAAAACGGCGGGAGCCTGAGGGAATTTTCCTTTAATGAAAGGAAAAATAGGCCATGTTACGTGCTAAGTGAGAACGGGATTAGATGTACAGGGAACAAGAGAAGTTGAAAGGAACAGGTCATGTGGTTATTCAGGGTTGTTCTTTTTGGAAACTTTTGCTGAAGTCTGACAAAGCACATTCAAACAAATGCAGATTTATACTTTCAGGTAATTTTAAATGTAATGAACCAGGTCAGAAAATGATGCCTCTGTTAAATCAGATGTATTCAGCAGTGTATCTATCTGGATGTATTCTCATCAGGATAATTATTTTATATATATATATATATATATAATTTTATACACATGCAAATAATAATAATGACAAAACAGAACAAAATTACTAAAACTTTAACTACAATTAAAATGAAAACAGAAAATATAAAAATTATAAAATTAAAAAGTAATTTAAAATATTAATAAAAATTGTAATAGTATCTCGATACTGATTCTCAAATATTGCCAGTCGTGGTTAAATAAATGTTGGATTTTTATTTGTTGATTGATTTTAAATAGGAAATGCGTAATGCATTTTTAGAAAAAAAAAAAGCATAATAAAATTTTATTATCATTAGTTAAATGTTTTAAAGCAAAATTTGAGTGGAATTCAGCTTTAGTAATATAACTAAATGATGAATGGGGACCCACATTGGCTGATATTGATGAAAACAAATATTTAAAATTAAACTTACTGTATATAGTGCATAATGTGGGTCACAGATGGCACTGTTTCCTGAGGATGTGCCTCACTATAGGGAAGTTCATTTTTCCATAAGACCGATAATTTAAGCCATGGCAGGTAACAAAGGCAGGTGTCATTCTGATCAGGTGAAGGTTGCGGGACATTTAGAGAATTAAAGTCACAGTGATCTTGTGCTAGACATCTTACAAAGGCCTGGCAGGCTCTTTGTGTCTTTCTTCTCTTTTATTACAACAGCCTCTGAAGGTCATCTCAAGCATTAGAGAAGCACTGCGCTGTTCCTCGTGTCTTTGGGGGCTTTGGGACCGGAGGAATAAAACATCTCATCTGGAGCGTCATCTGCAGCTGGTGCGTCTGACTCACGTCTGTTCTGCCGCAAATCGACAGATCTTGT